GAGACTCCTGTGCCTGTGGAAGTCACTTAAATGGCTTTCCTCTGGTAATCTGTGTGTGTCAGTGTAACTCACAGCCTTCTCTAAGGACCTGGGAAGGGGAGGGAAGTCACTTTTACTTTTTCAGCACAGATGCTGCACAGTCTCTGGAGCTGTGCTCATGACCTGGTTCTGAAATCCCGGCCTCTTACACTTCTGCCATTCAACACAGCTGCATGCTTGCCCAGGAGAGTTCTGCACAGGGCCCTAGGTGTTCAGTACCATTCCCTTCAGGCAGAGGTTGGCTTTGTACCTTTCTCAAAAAGTACCTTTTAATGGCATTCAAGGGCAATGACATTAATAAAAGAAGGAGTCCTAGGTGTTCAAGTGTTGAATGAACCATATACTACATTATTAAATGAATTATTACAATCAAAGACACACTGCCATGAATGCTGCTCAAAACCTCCCCCTCACTCTGAACACACTCATCTCGTGGTCCTCACTTTCTGAGCCAGCTATGGGGTCCTCTTTCATGAGTGTCTTTACAAGGTAAAATCAAAACTGTGGTGACTGCTGCTGCCCAGTGCCATCCAACAGAAAGGCAGCTTGTAAAAACATCAGGCTGTGTCCTCATCTGCCTTATTCACCGGATCTGGCAACATGACTTCTGGCTCTGCCCCAAAGTCAAAATAATTATATGAAAGGTCAATGGATTCAGGACATCAGGGCAGCCAGAGCAGCACGACTAAAGACATAAAAGAGGTATCCAGAGCTGCTTCCCTAGAAGAGAGTATTTTGGAAATTATCACCATAAGGAAGTCACAAATGTTTGAGGAGACAGAAAAGTTTAATGAGATTTAAATGTTACACATGTATCTATTTATCTAAATATATACTACAACAATGATATGTGCAACCTTTATGTTTTTATGGCTCATCTAAAATATGAACTTATTGAATAAAAGAATTTAAAAATAAATTATCTGAAAAGGAAGAGAATAAGGGAGAGATGATAGGAAACTGGAAAATCGACCTTTGAAGTGGAGAAGGGGATTGGGGCAACTGGGCAAGAAGGAGGAAAGAGACTGACAATGATCTAGAAACTTGATACACATGTGCCAATTCCCCCAAAGTGGACAACAATATTTTGTATTACTGATGGCACAAATTCTTTTAAAAGATGAAAAAATAAAGATGAGGCAAAGGTGAAATGTGTGGCTCTTCAGAAGAAGTGGGTGCACCTCTTACCCCACAGGCCAGGCACAGATCTGACCCTCGGCTATCAATTCAACTGTCTGCCCACTGCCAAGAGTGTGTGCAAAACACATAAATATGGAAAAGTGAGTTTACTCATGATTTGGCCAAATAGGGAGTGCAGTTGTTCCACCTCAGGGAATGCACAGAAGTACCTTCACTTACATGGGGAATAGAACAAACCAGGAAATATCTACATGCAGATTCATCCTTGGGCCTAGACAATGCCTGAAATGGATGGAAAATCCCTCGTCCCAGGGCAGGGTGCAGCAGTCATCAGTGTCAGGATGAGAAAGCTAGAGAAATAGCTCAGCTTTAAATGTTAACATTTCAACCTGGTCTCACCGCTCCAGAAAGATCACCAGCCATCAAACAATGATTGAACAGAAACTTGGTCATGTAAAGAGACATTTCTGTTCTCCTCCACCTCATACCATGACATTTAACATTTTTCTTCATGTTGAACATACTCTAAAAATCATAGCCATGAAGGAAAATGTGCTGAACAGTCTCATCCCAGTGACTGAACAAACAGCATTAATGAGGCACATCAACAAGAAAAAGAAGGGATCTGGAGACTGACAAGACAGCTGAACAAGTGGTCATGTAAGTCCACAGGAGCCTGAGAAGGAACTGGCCATGGTGTCATATTCCTGTAATCCCACCATGCTAGGAGGCAGAGGCAGGAGAATCTCAAATTCAAGCCAACACTGAGCAACTTGGAAATGTACTGAGACTCTGCCTAAAAATAAAAGCAAAATGGGCTCCAGATCCCTCCCCACAAATGAGGGTGATCTGAGGGAGTGTGGACAGTCCCCAAACACAGGTGAATGAGGCTTTTTTTGCGCCATTTGCCACAGCAGGGACACATCAGACTTCTTACTTGTGACTATTTTTGTAAGCTCAGAACTTGAATAAAATCAACTTTTCCTGGCTTAGACACTCCATTGGTCACATTTATGTCACTGGGACAAAACACCAGACACTCATAACTTACAGGAAGAGAGGTTTATTTTGGCTCACAACCTCAGCCCATGGTTGGCTGACTCCAAGGCAGAAATGGTGGAACAGCCTGGATGGAGGAAAACTCCTCATCCCATTGTAGCCAGGAAATAGAGAAGGCAGGGGGTGAGAACAAGGATGACTTACAGGGGCCATCCCCAGTGACCCAACACCAGCTAGGAGGCCTTGTAACTGCACATTCAGCTAATCGTGAATTCACTGCTGAGTACAATTCCCTCATGATCCGATCATCTCCAAACACACAAGATCTCTGGGGAACATTTGGGATATAAAAGAACATTCTGTCTCTGGCTCCCCAAAGACTTGTGTCCATCTCTGTATGAAAAATGCGCTCAGTCCATCTCTAACAGGCTCTGAAGTCACAACAGTTGCAGCACTGCTGAAAATTCCAAGTCTCCTCTGAGACTCAAGGCAAATTCTTAGTTGTTATCCCCCATAAAAATCAAACAGAAAATTAAATGCTTCCAACATACAATGGCAGAGGGTAAATATCTCCTTGCAAATGGAAACAATAGAGGACTAGAATGGAAGGAGACCAAAGCAACCCTGAAACCCAATAGGGGAAAGCATATGTTCTGTAGCTCCATGTGTAGTAGCTGGGGAAGTTGTAGTAAGAAGTGGATTCCAAGTGGCTTGGGTGCTCCTCTACCCCCTCAGCATTGCCAGTTGAAGTCTTCATGCTCTTTTTCTAGGGCTGGCTCCAGTCCCTGCCTACAGATTTCCTTAGCACATGTCTCACATTCTGGTATCTCCAGCATCCTGGGGTCTGCACTGTCCTTTCAGCTCCACTCTCACAGCCTCCCACACTGCTCTCTCAGGTGGATTGCCTGGTCTTCTGAAATCTGGGTGGAAGCCTTGCTGAGCCAACAACTCTTGCATTTTGCTTGCCTGTAAAACCTCCATTCACCTCCAAAGATGGGTATGCCTCTGATTATTCAGACCAGCTCCCCTTGGATTTGAAGCCCTTGATTACCTCTTTACATGGGCTCTGGTTTGTTTCCCCTTGACCTCTTCTCCAGGCCAGTTCCTTTTGATGTGTGGCATGGAGAGCAGAAATTAGATAGGGCAGCAACATGGCCCATGGTGAAGACAGCCTGAGAATAGATGGGTGAGCAGAAGACTCAGCAACTTCCTTCGCATGTGTAGAGGTCCACTGGCAGATGTGTCAAAGCCTAGGCATCTGAGGACACAAAGTCTGCCCTTTAGTTCAAGTGCATGATGGAGTTTGTTATAATAATAATAAATCAGCATGGACAAGCACACATGTACCACATGGCTACATGCAAGGTCCTGTGGCTGTTTTGTTTAACTGTGTCTCAGAAAAGCTGATAAAGCCGTGGAGCTCTTGACCTCTGCAGCTGCAGCTCTAACTCTTATGCTCTGATGCCACCCTGATACTGAAATTAAATTTGGTTCTTGCTTTCTTGTGATGTCTGCTCCACATGTGTTCTTTCCCTTGGGAACCTCACCTGACCAGTCACCCCTTCAGCCCATGGGCCATGATATCATAGTGCGTTTCTCTGCTCTTCTAATGCTGCATAGGTTTTTACCAAGATGTGCCTGCCCTAGGAATTCCTGTAAAGACAGCAGTGGGTGATGTCTTTGCTAGGCTCTGGATCCTAGGAGTGAGGCCTCACCTGGGGATGTGCAGAAACACAGAGCCTCAGGGTGCCTTGTGACCCTCAGTGTCAGTCTCCCTCTGCAGAGGAGCTGGGGTGACTGTGAGTACATGAAGTGGGGGAAGCCCCAAATGGAGTCAGAAATCCTCTAGCTCAAAGTATCTGTGACAGGGCTTATGGAATGCTCAAGGAATTTTGCTCTCTAAAAGTCCTTGTGGCAATGGCAGCTGCTGAAATTGGAGGCAGCACAACTTGTGATAAGTCTCTGGTTCAGTTCTCCATGAGCAGATGACTGACCTTCATATAAGAAGTGCCAGCTTAGTAAAGTCGGAATGCTAATGATTACACTGACCTTAAGCAAATGCTGAAAACATTAGATTAGATGAATGAAGAGCTTCTCCCAGGAATTTAACCAACACAGAACACACAAAAAAACAAAACATAGCTGAGAATTGATGAGGCTTTCACATGTAAATGACCCACATATCATCCTCTTAGCTTAACTCTGGTTTATCCAGAATCTTACACTAGACTTTAGAAAACCTATAGGATTTGTTGAAAGGCTTTGGAAGGGAATTTGGGAAAGAGAAAGGAGCAAATTTTGCTGGATTCAATGTTTGATAACAGACAATGAACAGGCACTCGGCCCAGCAAGAGTCCTGAAGATCTGGGGTCATTTTGACTTCAATTCCTAGAATGTTGTAAGTGAATTAAAAAGAAAAAACAACAAAAATAAAGCTCAGATTAAGAAAAGTTGTTTCTTGCTTAGTGCTCTAGTACAAGTTGGTGAAAACTTATCTTTAGAACTACTTCTTTTGCTATGTTCTGTGGACCAGTTTTATAGATGGATCATCTCAAAGAGTTTCACCATGACAGGCATCATATACTTCACTCATAACATATAACATTGGATTGACAAGGTTCTGGATACAAACTTCAGTGCCAGAAAAACAAAACAAAACAATACCCATATTACATTGGAACATAAGTAGCCATGGCGGACCAGAGAAGGCAAATGAGTTGTGAGTTGCAGGCACCAGCTCTCTTCCAACAATTCTCAGTGCTATCAAGGCCCTGGGTGGTGGAAACAGTCAGGCTGAGGCTGCCTGGCTCTCCCATCTGCTCTTACTCCTTCCCTGCCTCCCTCATGCCAAGCAGCAGCCTTCTCAGTGCCCCCTTCACCTCTTTGTTCCTGAGGGTGTAGATGAGGGGGTTCAGGAGTGGGGTGACAATATTGTAGAAGAGGGTGAGGAACTTGCCCTGGTCCTGGGAGGAACTGTTTCCTGGCTGCATGTATATGTAGATGATGTTTCCATAGAAAAGCAAGACCACTGTGAGATGGGAGCCACATGTGTTGAAGGCCTTTTTCATCCCCAATGCTGACCGCATTTGCAACACGGCCCTCACAATGTAGCTGTAGGAGACCAAGATGAATGCCAGGGGTGACAGCACAATGACCACTGCCAGTACAAAGACAGTACCTTCAATGGGCACTGTGTTGACACAGGCCATGCGGATCAGGGCTGGCATCTCACATAGGTAGTGGTCCACATGGTGGTGCTCACAGCGTGGCAGAAGCAGGGTCACCGGGGACATGGCCAGGGAGTTGGCCACCCCACAGACCCAGGCCACCAACACCAAGCCCAGGCAGAGCCTGGGACTCATGATCACCATGTAGTGCAGGGGCTTGCAGACTGCCACGAAGCGGTCATATGCCATGACAGCCAGGAGCAGGCACTCCACACCACCCAGGCCCAGGAACAGGAACAGCTGCAGGGCACAGCCCATGAAGCTGATGGTCTTGTCTGGGCCATGCAGGTTGTAGAGCAGCTGTGGGATGGAGCTGGTGGTGAAGGTGAGGTCCAGGAAGGACAGGTGAGTGAGGAAATAGTACATGGGCGTGTGGAGGTGGGGGTCCAGCCGGGACACCAGGATGATGGTGGTGTTGCCCACCAGGGTCAGGAGATAGGCTACCAGGATGATCCCAAAGAGGATCCTCTCCAGGTGGGGGTGCTCAGAGAAGCCTAGCAGGGTGAAGCGTCCATGGGAGCTGTCATTGGTTCCAAACATGGCTAGTGCACCTGAGGAAAACATCAGTAGTACTGGTAACAGCTGATATTACAGGACCAATTACTATGTGCCAGGAATTCTTTTTCTTTATTCATATATTTATTAGTACATTTTAGGTATATGATACATTTATCATTGGGTGCTTGTACCTGAACATGATGTATCTTAGTTCTTATTTTTTCCCCTATTACCTGTGCACCCTTCACCCCCTCCACCCTTCCTTATTTACATAGATTTTGTTACCATTTTTTTTTCTTTTCTCATAATTTTTCCTTTCCCTTCTTAATTCTCTTTTATGGGTTGTTTTTGACTTGGGATTAAATTTAAGTCTGTCACACTGAACTACATTCCCAACCGTTTATTTTTAATTCTGTGACATCCTGCTCAGTCACTACATTGATCAAATTGGGACTGAACCTGAGCTTCTCCTCCCTCTGACTCCCAGAGTGCTGGGATTATAGGCATTCTCCACCACACCAGGCCTCTTTTAAGTATTTAACATTTATTTATTCATTTTACTGTACAACAATGGTATGGATTTGGCACTATTAGTATAAAAATAAAACCTCAACTTACAAAAAGGAAACCAAGGAACTTGCATGTCACTTTTGTCACCTACAGAAAGGGACTGTATTCATTATGAACCCTGGAAATGTGGTCAAGCTCTTCACCCTAAGCCCTGCTAGAGGAGTCTGACTGGGACTGTGCCATGTTCCTAGGTTTTCATGGAAACCTCAAAGACACAAAACCAAGCTCAAGAGAATCAAATATTAAGTACACCCAAGGCTTCAACATGGAAGATTTGAATCCTGGGTGGCTACTTGTATATGGATTTATTTTCAATGCACATATTGTGAAATGTGTTGGACAGCTGCTACAACTTAATAAAACTCAAGGGCAAATAATTTACCCTAGAAATGACAAAAAATTAAGAAAAAGTTAGGTATTAATGAATGCACAAATTATATGTAGATAATACTACAATGTATCATGTACCAATGTCAAACACATCTAAATCTATTGTGAAACAGCACAATGTAGCCAGGCATGGTGAGCACTTCTACAGGACTCCTACAGCACTCTGGCAGTCCAAGACAGGAGAATTGCAAGCTCAAGTCCAGCCTGGGAACTTAGGGAAGCCCCCTCAAAATAAGAAATTAAAAATACACAGGGGTTGTAGCTCATTGACAAGGCCCTAGATTTAATCCTCAGTACCACAAAAATGTTACAATTTATCAAAATTTACATGAAAAGATATAGACCATACGTGGTACCAATTGCAGTGGGAAGAACAGTAAGCAAAAGAGAAGGTGAATTTACCATGGCAGAAGTCACACAGGGTGACAACTTGATGCCACCTCCTGTGCCTACCATAGGAAGCTTGCAACTGAGGGTTTGCTTAAAGCAAAAGCCTTGGGTACATTCCCTAGCACTTCAAAAACACTCTTTTTCACTGTCTCTTAATTGGTCAGATCCTGAAGTAATAGAACATTGCATGGGGAAACTTGCACTTGAGGAAAAAAAGAAATCATAACATTTTGTAATGGATTATACTGTTTTTATGCAACAATTGACACATGTGGAGGAACTTCTATTGAATTTCAATTCCTAATATGAGTAATCTTCAAAGTAAAGCATATTTGAGGAGAGTAATTACAAGCTTTGCAGACAGACATAGAGAAGCAGATTAAAAATGTAAAACAGGCCATATGTCTATGTATAGCTCAGTTACAGTCGTTTAACCAACAGGACATCATTATGAGACCTTGGAAGCTCATTTACATTTCAATGTTTTCTCACCACCAATGGCAATAATTAAATCTACTTAGACATTCTACATGTAACTTCTGGGATTTTTAAGAAGAAATATGACATAAATACATAAAATATATAAAGTTTGTAAATATAAATTTCCTTATACAGTGGACCCTCAAGTTACAACTGGCCTGACATACGAACAACTTGGGTTAATCAGGTTACTGGAAGGTTCATCTGCCTCTTTATAGCGTAAACATCCAGGTAAACATCCAGGTAAACATCCAGATCTCAGCCATAGTTACAACCAGCCCTCAGAACTGACAGAGTTGATAAGTCAATGGTCCATTGTATGTGAAATGAAGCTTATGTATCATACAAACAAGAAGTATGAAATAAATCCATGAGATTAAGTAGGGAAATTTTTAGGGAAAAGAAGTTTCTGAGGGAAAATTATATTAATATACGCCTGATCATGCTTTAAATATAATAATTAAAACATCACAACCAAGATACTTGAGAAGGCAGAAAGTGTGTATTCCTACTTGATCACTTATATTAAAACAAATCATAAAATATATATTTAAACATTTTTCAAAAGACTATTATTAGAAGGGATAGATTTTTCTTTTTTTCCTGATCAACATAGATTAAAGATTTCCCAAATCAAATTTCATTTATCAAATACTGTAAAGTAAAATAGAGAAAATTTGGTCACATAATAAAAAATCTACACACTAAGAAACACCGCTAACAAAAGTCTAAAAATAAGGACAATTCAAAAGTCAAAAGTAGAAATTTCAGAAGTCAAAAGGCTTCCTTGGTAAAATATTTTTTTCAAAAAATTGTCAAGAAAAACCTGAGGGAAAATTAAAATGAACAATGATTTGAAGAAGCACTGCAAAGGAAAACAAACCACTTATAAACAACTGCCCTTCACATGTGAGATAGGTGATCATTGGTAACTGAGGATATAAACCTGAAACAGAGATCTGCTTTCTACATATGTTGCTCTAAAAACTGAAAAATATAGTGCTATTCAGCACTTAAAAGAGTGTAAAATGAGGTCATTCTCCAGGACCCTGTGACGGAGCTGAACCCAGAATGGTGTCTTTACAGAAATGTCTTTTGAGAAAATCCCCACTTAAAAATACATACGGACCTTGACACCACACAGGTTATTTTAACAGAAGGAGCATCTGGCTTTCACACAGTGGAAACTGACCTGCTTACTCTTGCCTTTCTCCATGCACAATGAGAAGCCCAGCCTGCAGGCATCAGCCGTGAATTAGAGGCAGACACCCTTAAGAACCCACCCGGAGCACAGAGCAAAGGAGAGGAGCCCAGAAACAAAGTCAGAGACATGAAGTAATGGGAACTTATATCATTATGAACTTGATAAAATGATTCCTAAATTCAAGTATAGATCTGACATCCCCTGGAATTTCATTCAAAAATAATAGTTTCAAACGAGTAGAGAAACAAAACATAACACATACTGGCATTGTGCTTAGTGGGATCATCCTCTCTCTCTCTTTTTCTCTCTCTCTCTCCATCTATCTGTTTACACAGAGAGATATTTGTCTTAAAACACAAAAGACACCTGGAAGCACATACTCTTAGAGAGTGAGATGGGGTGAAGGAAGACTTTCAGTTTTTTATGATCCTTTACAATACAATAACCAATTATCAAAAATGACCTTGCAATTTTAAAAATATACCCCTGTGTGTAAATATCATAGGTGGGATTCAGGTTATGTCCTACAATTAGGTTGTACCTGGTTAATGCGCTGCTTTAGCTTTGTCATTCTCCTCTTCAAAGATCATCTCTTCCTCCTTCTCAGCAATAATTCTTTCTAAAAATTAAATGAAACAGGAAAAAAAAGGAAGAAATATGAGAAAACAGGAAAAATAAAAGACCAAAATGAGCTTCCCATCACCACGGTGACACCCTAGCATGTGAAGCATCCCAGTGTACTCTCACGGTGCCAAATCTCTGGATCTGTGAAACCAGACCAGAGTGAGCACTGACATCCAGCTGGGCATGGGGCAGGGCAAGAGTCTGGGCCGCTGGGGAGCTAGAGTTCAGGTCTCCCCTGTCTGTGCCTTCTCAGCTGGGAGGGAGGCAGGAGGACTTCTCAGGAAGGTTTGCACCAGAGAAAGGGTTGCCAATGGTTGAGTCCCACACCCTCTCAGCTCTGCAGCAAGATGCTGGCTCCTTGCTCTGAAAATATATTTTTCCACTCTGTTGGGTATTGAAAACATGCATTTACACAGGTGGCTGGAGGTCTTTCTTGTGGAAACCTTTGCATTTAATAAAACGCGTTAACTCAAACTTGATTCTACTGAGCATTATTTTTAAACAGGAACATGTGCTGTCTCTAAAAGACAGGGGCTGCTCTTGCCCCTGAACCTTCCAGCAAGGTATCCCCAGGGGCTCACTGCCCTCAGGAAGACAAGGCACAGACACTGTCACCTCCTGAAAGGTCCTGGAAAGGGACACATTTTCTGTGCCTGAATTTAGGCTTTGGAGGCTGCCAGTGTTTTTCCTCCTGCTGGGCAGAGGTCTTCTCCACCACTGTTCCAGAAAGCACAGCTCTCAGTGCCTCTGCCGGTGGTGCTCACTTCCCACAGCCACCGGGACTACCATGCCCCAGCCAGGCAGCTGCTCTGGCATGTAGGGAGTTCTCCTGTCTGCATGTGGACTTGTCACAGTCCCACGTCCTCTCCTGCTGAGGGAGAGCTCCCTACCCTATCCCTTTACCCTTTACCAGGTACAATAGGAAGGAGCTGCTCTGGAGCTATGAGCTCCCTGGGTGGGCTCTCTGGCTTCCTGCTTGGGGGACCCCAGCCTCCTGTGACACAACAGGGAGCACTGCAGGGCAGGAGGGGGCTCTGCCCGAGACCTGGGTGTCCTCACAGGGAGGCAACAGGGACAGGTCAGGAGAGGCTGAGAGAGTGTTGTGCAGACAGGGTGCTGCAGGGACATGAAGACAGCAGAGTGAGCAGTTTCCCCACAGGAAGGGGGCTGTTTATAAAGCCTGGGTTCCACTCCTGTGCTGGGGACCTTGTGTCCAGACAGGGTGTCATGGTAATGGCATGCCTCCTGTGGAGCAGATAGCAGACACCTGGGAAGACTTCACACCCCTGCTCTCTTCCTTCTCAGCCACCAGACAAAGACACACACTCTGCAGTTTCTAGAGGGTGGGGAGTGCTCACAGATCAACCCTTTCAATTTGTGTTAA